AGTTACTCTCAAAATTTATTACATTCTTTTCTTTTAGTTGCTCGACATTGTTTTTATCATCAACTTGGTAATTTACATTTAAAAAACCATGCATTGTTTTTATCATGTATTTGGTAATTTATATTTACAGAAGGTTATATATATTTAGATTCATTATTACTGCATTTTTTTACTATATTTTATATGAACTATAGTAAATAGGCTTTATTGTTTTATTTGTACTCTCTTGTTATTCGTTTCATATGCTTTATTTGTTAGCAGTTTCGTGCAGTTTCATTTCCCAATTTTTTGGAGCATAATGTGGTCCATCAATCCATTTTTCAAGTTCACTTTTTCTTTTGTGTAAACGTTTTGACTTTTTGCTGATTTTTTGAAGTTCCTATTAGTGTCTCCATGTTTTGAGTTCTATGATGGATAAAGCTCTATAAATACACATGTATTCATCTATTTTGGGTCACCGAACCTACTCCTTTCTTCAGATAAAACAACATAATCGCGTTTTGAGTAAGTAAGGGTTTAGAAAAACAAAAATTGTGCTTAATACAAGTTAATTTGCAATGGCTGGAGGTTCATGTATTTGATTTAATTTGGCTTCTACTTTTATTTCATTTGGTATCAAAGCTTGTGTGCATTTGGACCAAAAACAGGCAAAAGGTGGAATACCACAAAGAGAAAGTGTACCTATTAAGAAAGCAGTTTTTGTAATTGGCACATGTTTTGTTAAACCACCCATAAGAACCATATTTTGACTTGTAGCTGGAGAATATCCAACAATAGCTTCCATTGAATGAATAATGGATCCAGATCCTAAAAATAACAATGCTTTTGAATAAGCATGAGTAATCAAATGAAATAAAGCGGCTCGATAAGATCCCATACCTAGAGCTAATATCATATAACCCAATTGAGACATTGTGGAATAGGCCAAATCTTTCTTAATATCTTTTTGAGCAATAGCTAAAGTAGCTCCTAAGACTACTGTTTATTATACCTATAAAAGCTATTCCATCTGCCTTGCTTGTTATGAAAAGTTTGAATTTTATATATATATCTATATATATATATATATAGATCTTGTGTGTTTTGAGCCTTTTAATCTTAACTGGAGATGAAAATTTGATGAACATTTTTTTTCTATGTTTTTTGTGCCTAAAAACATGTTATTTTGCATCTACTACATGTTGAAAATGTTAGGTTTTGATTTTGGATCCACAGGCTGCAAATCAGGTCAAACTAACTTGACTTAAGTTAAAGATTACTAAAAACGCATTATGTTCTGTCATTTTACTCATTTTCAGTGATTGATGTATTTGAAAATATATAATATTGGATGTTAATAGAAAATATGTCACAACACTTGGCGCAATGGTTATTCATATTTTACATATCAAATTATTGATTTTAAAAACTACATATCCCAAGTCTAGTGTACTAGTTTTGCTTATGTATTAAAGTTTGCATGATTTATATAGCATAAAATTGTATATTTATATTATTAGTCTAGACATATGTTGCATATATTATTTAGTTTGAATATTCTATACATCTTACACATGCAATTTTGTGTATTGCTATCTAATTTGTTTAATGTTAATGCAAATAATTGACTATTTAGAGAAAAATTAATGATCAATAACAAATATAATTTTAATAAATTAGGGAGTAGCCACATCATCTTTAATTAATTAGAATTTATATAGTTTTAAAGTCACATTAAAAATATTAATTATAATTAATTTATGAAATATGATGAAATCTATCTACTGAAGTTTTATTCCATTTGTATAATTAAAATATTATATTATATTTCTTAATCTATCACAAGAATTAAGAAAAGAATAATTTGATAGTTTTGTCTTAAGGTTATATAAAGTCTAATTGAGTAGGACTTTAGCCTTCAATTAAGTTTTATGTTACTAGATTTATGAATTAAAGTATATTTGCATTGATGAAATATAACATTTATTTTATCCTTAAATTATAATAGTAGGCATGTGTTTTGAACTTTGCAACTTCAAATATTTTTGATATTAAATTTGGTATTCCCAAGTTAAAGGGTGACAATTATAAGGTTTGGAAGAAGAAAGTTCTTCTTTATTTCTTGCTTAGGCAAGAATGATCTCGCTTAAGTGACAGTATCAGCAAAATATGTAGAAAATTTTATTGTTTTTTTGTTCAGGCGAGAAAAGGATGTCTCTTAGGCGAGAATGACCTTACTTAAGCGAGAATCCTCGAGTAAAGGACATTTAAGTAACTTTGACATTTTTAAAACTTAAATTACAAGGCAAGCAACCATTCTCATCTCACTTTCAGTTCTCTCACTTTCTTCCATAATTAGAAAATACCTTTGCTCTCAAAACCTCTCACGAATATGAGCTTGGACATCTTTTTCACTCTATTTTCTAATAAGTTTCTTAAAGATTGTCAATCTCACTTCTATTTCATCATTTTTTTTCTTATAAAAAATTAATCTACTTTGTGATGCTTAGGAAGAATTTGGTCATTCAGACAATGTAACGCCCCAATTTTGTAATATTACTTATTGTTATTTATATAAATCTAAATGCATATATATGTGTGTACAAGTGTAAATGAATGTTGTGAATTTGCATTTAATGCTTAATGATGGTGTCCTTCTGTGTAATGAGTATGAATATGTATATATATATATATATATGTGTGTGTGTGTGTGTGTGTGTGTGTACGTGTAGATGTATGATTGATTGGATTGGACTAGTCGGGCTGAAAATAGGCTAAGTGCCTAAGTGCAGGGTGTAATATTGGGCTGTTCTCGCTGCAGCGAGAGGGCCCTAGGAGGAAGGACCAAAATTGTCGCCTTCTCGCTGCAGTGACAGAGCGACAGTTTGTGGTGCATTTCTGAGTGCAGTCTCGCTGTAGCGAGAGGGTCTCGCTGTAGCGAGATTCTGTAGAAACCAGAATGCAGTTTCGTCTGAGATTTTCGCTGTGGCGATAGAGGGCGTTGCTGCAGCGAGAGTGTCACGATCTGAGGGGTTTTAAAAGGGGGTTTAGGGTTTGAGAAGTTATTTTCTCAAAATCCCTTCGAATCCCTCGACTCAGAACCCCTTTCTACTGATTACATTGCCTCCAAAGTCGTCGGGGGCTTGATTGAAGGTTGAATTCGTGTGGGGAACGCTTGGAGGTGAGTTTTAATGATTAGGGTTTTCATTTCCATTCTCTTTCTCTGTTTTTGAGGTTTCCCTGAGTTCTCATGGAGTTTATCCATTTGTTTGGGACGAAATCCGTGAAGGGGAAACACTTCTTCGTGGATTTAAAGTGTGGGTCTTCAATCCAAGGTAAGGGGGACTCTACCCTACTCTTTCTATGTGTAATTGTTTGAATATGGAGTTGTGGCTGAGTTAGAAGGTAGAAAATGGGTAGAGAATGAAAGTTGATTAAGAAATGTGCCATATGCCGAGAAATGTGAATATTGTGTGTGTTTACCCGAAATAGATAAATGTGAACTGTGTGCTAGATGTTGCATGATGTAAATGAATATTGTGAACAAATGTGGGCCCGAGGGCCGTGTAATATAGATGAATATTGGCCATGTGCCGTGTAATGTGAAATGAATGTGGGCCTAGTGCCGTGTATTTGAATGCAATGTGGGTTGTGTGCCCTATGCAAGCATGAATATTGTGTGCGTGAATGAAATGTATGTGAATGGAGCGTGTAGCGCCGTTATCATGTGCTGTGAATGGTTCAACGATACACTAGGGGTGTGGAAGATGAGGACGGTAGAAATACCTTGGGGAGGAGGGAGTGGTGGTGACACCGACTGTGGAACGGGTGCATCACGGGCCACACACTCTCTTCCTGACTAGACCTCTGACCACTATCTTTGCTAAGCGACTCGTGACTGCCCACGTGGTATCCGTGAGGCGGGGGTAATCGGCAACCATTCATGGTGTAAATATGTGATCACAGTGCCACAGTGAGTGTGGCTGGTGTGCGTATGCATGGGTTTATGAATTGTACCTATGGATGTGAAATGCTGCTGATGCCGTGAGTGCATCGGTGTTAATTGACCTGAGCTGTGTGATAATATTGTTTGTGATTGTAATTGTTTAATGTATTGAAAATGTATTGGAGGTGAGACTCTATGTTGACTGTGTGTCTTTGGGTAGTGTAGAGTACTCACCCTTACATTCATATTTCAAGTAATCAAGACAATTAGCATCGGACTCAGTGAAGGGGTGGATGGAACTGCTATAAGACTTAGGATATTATTTTGAAAACTATTGTATTTGAATAAGTCCTATGGCAACTGTTTGATGAAATTTGTAACCCCCTTTCTTTATTTGGAAATATTTGACGAAACTTGGATTAAAAATGGAAGTTTTATTATTTCAAAATTTTGCAAAATTGCTTATTTATTGAAATTAAATTTAAGGTGTTACAATTTTGGTATCAGAGCAGTTCATCCAAATGGACTGGGGTATCAGGATGAAGCGTCCAAGATAAGTGTTGATTGTTTTGTTTGCCTGAATTATAAATGTATTATTGATCTGATGTGCTAGACTGTGACTGTTAAACTGTGTAGCTTAGATTATGGCTAGTAGAGGTAGAGGTAGAGGTAGAGGCTCCAATGACCTCATGGAACGCATTGCTCAGATTCTGGAAGCCATGGTGCATAATCAAGGCGGAGAGCCGGCTGAGTATCGAGGGTTGTCTGCCTTCACTAGGCATGATCCTCTAAGGTTTGAGGGTGGATTCAATCCCGAAGGAGCCCAAAGGTGGGTGGCCGATGTGGAGAAGATCTTTAATGCAATGGGGTGCCGTGAGGAGAACAAGGTTGCCTATGCCACCTATTTGCTGTGTGGGGAGGCTGAGGACTGGTAGAGGTTTGCCAGTCAGACCCTGCCATAGGAAGATGGCTATATCTAGTGGAAAGCATTCAAGACCATCTTTCTAGGGAACTACTTTCCCCAGGACCTAAGGAAGCATAAAACTAGGAATTCCTTGAACTGAAGCAAGAAAGTATGACTGTTGGGGAATATGCAGCTAAGTTCCAAAAGCTGATGAAGTACTGGCCTCATTATCAGCATGGTGATGGAGAGGAGGATCTGTGTACTCAGTTTGAGCATGGATTGAGGCCAGACATTCGAGCTGTGGTCAGTATGTTTCAGCTGACAGACTTGCCCACCATGGTGAGCAAAAGCAGAATTTTTGAAGCTAACTCAAGAGGGAAGACGGTGGACACTAGGTGAGCTGGCCCGGTGAGACATGACAGAAGGCGCCCGAGGTTCTCAAAGGGGCCGTATTTAGGCTCGAATAGCTCTCAATCCCGAGGGAGTTCTTCTCAAGAGAAGAGCAGTGGGAGTGGTTCGGATCAGGTTCTTTTAGAGGGTCGATTAAATGCTTCAGGTGTGGAGGGCCATACATGGTGAAGGACTGCCCACAGTCGAGGATAACTTGCAACAACTGTGGGAAGTTGAGGCACATTGCTAATAAGTGCTGGGCCGCTAAGAGAAACGGTAGTGCAAGTGTAGCCCAGAGGCCAGAATCGAGAGGAAGTACGGGGCCAAGTACGGGGCAGAAGCCGAGCATTCCTGGTAGAGTCTTTGCTATGAGTGAGGCAGAGGCTTCACAGTCAGAAGAGCTGATTCGAGGTAAATGCATTATTAAGGGTCGATTGCTTGATGTGCTGTTTGATTCGAGTGCTACGCACTCTTTTATATCTGTGGACTGTATGAAGAGTCTGGGCTTGTATGTGACTGAATTGCCATGTAATGTTATGGCAACTACCCCTACGGGTAAGCCAATTGTGATGTCATGGGTATGCCTGGGGTGTTCGATAAGATACATGGTAGGGAGTTCGAGGTGGACTTAATTTGTTTACCTCTTTCTCAACTAGAAGTAATTCTGGGAATGGATTGGCTTGCTGCCAACCATGTGCTGCTGGACTGTAGGGAGAAGACTTTGATCTTCGGTGTGAAAATGGCAGAGGTTCCAAGGCTTATGAGCTAGGGAGCGTGGGAGAACACGGTAAACGCCAAGGCTTTCATGGTTATGTTCTCAATGGAAACCGAAAAGTGTGGTGGAACCAGACTATATTCCAGTGGTAAGGGTGATGAACGGAATTTTTTCTTTCTTGTTTGCAAAAAGATTTGTCGTCAACCTTCATCCAAATATGCAGAAAAATTTATGTAGTCTAGGATGCAAGCCTAGGTTGTCTCCAATGACTTTGGTTTGTAACATACATTGAACATGTTGTAAACATTTACTATAAAAGCAATTAAAGCAAGGGGATTTTGTGTAATTCCAATTTTAATGTAAAGACAAGTGATGAAATTAATGAATCCAATCAATGAAATGTGCAATCCTTAGTTTGTTCATGTAATTCTATCCCTATCCCTCTCAAGATTCAATACTTTTCCTCTTCCTCTGAATTAGGGTAACTCGAAAAGTAAGAAATAACCTTAACGTCCCATACAAATTAAGCAATTTACATGGGCTCCAACTCTTTTCCTAAAGATTACGCAACCTTAAAAATTAACTTAGGATTAAGCAAACTAAGTTAAGAATTTCATTAAAACGAATTAGAGTTAATTAAGCAATGTCCGCCTCATTCAACCATTAATTTAATTCAAAGAGTTGGGAAATATAAATTCATGAAGGAAAGGGAATTATATTGACATTCATACCCAGGAATTCAAGAATCCATGAACTCATTAAGGATTACAAGAAAGTTTAGCCCTTTATAAGGATGGGTCTTACAAATTCAAGATGAAAACAAGGAAAATTCAACATCATCAATGCAAGAATTAAAGGAAAATGAAGACAAATTGTAAATCAAACCCTAAGATTGGCCTTAGCTGTCACCCAAGGATCCTAAGCTCTGCAAAATGCTCCCAAAGTGGCAAAAGAATCTAAAAGTTATAAAAAAAACCCGTACCTTAATTTCTCAAATCCTATTTATAGTGCAGAATTGTTACCCAAAGTAACTACTATGGTTTCATAGTGATAACGTGCAGTGCTCCATAGTAGTTACTATCGCTCCATAATGGTTACGCACAAGTCCTGTGATTTTGGCCTCTCTGGAGTTATCACTTTGGCATCATATTGACAATGCACAGTGTTCCATAGTAGTTACTCTCGCTCTATAGTAACCACATGCAAGTCTGGTGCTTTTGGCCTCTCTGGAGTTGTCACTTTGGTATCAAAGTGATAATTATGGTTGCTCCAGAGTGTCTACTATGGTTCGAAAGTAAACATGCGCAACACTTTTTCAAAATGGGCCTCTATAGTTGTTACTATCGGTTCATAGTGATCACTTTTGTCTGCCCCTCTAGATTTAGCTTGCTGTAGTGTTCACTATGGGATCCAAAGTGATCACTTTCATATCAAACTTTCTCAAATGCTAAAAATCCATGGAAAAAGTCTAGAAATTCCTGGACAATTATTCAAATGATCAAAATTGCAAACTATATCTACGTAAATCAATGTAAATTAACCAAAAATTAAGAAACCTATGATATTTGACCAAAGTGATGTTTTTATGTTATTTACACTTCCTAAGTTTACTTTTTCTATTAAGAAACATCAAAATAACAAGTAAAAATCCAATAAAATGTGGATTCATCACAACCCCAAACCTAAACTTTTGCTTGTCCTCAAGCAAATCAAAATTCAATAAAGTCACTTGTAAAAGGGTTGGATTTATCCAAAAGTTTTCTTTCAAAATTTTCATTCCAGGATCAAACTCTAATTGACACTTCCAATGTTTCTAAAATCATGGATTTATTCAACAAAGAAATCATGCCTAAATCAATTATTTTCAAGCAAAGTCCAACTATACTGAAACAAAAATCTAGCAAGGTTTCATGTAATCCACACAGTGCAAAGAAATTATTTAGCTCAAAGGATGGTGTTTCACTCTTTACTCATCAATGTTTCAGGTTAAGTGTTTTCCCTCAATTCATGCATTTTGCCTCACCCTACTATATGCTTGCCTATATTCTCAATCTTCTTTGCCTAGATACAATGAACCACCTATCAAGAAGACTTTGTTGGTCACAAATGTATTAAGTTAGGTTCAATTTTGATCAAGGAGGGTGAAAAGCTCAAGTGGGTTTTTAAGAGGAGGAAATTCCTTTGAGTAAGTGAGGACAACAACTAAGAGTAGAATGCATTAAATGATGCAGCAAGTGAGATTCAAGCACTCTTTCACCATATTTTTCATTTACTTTGCCTTATGTAGAGAATCCTTTTTCTATCAAAATGACTTGCTATATTCTTCTTTTTCTTTTCTTTTTTCATTCATTCATCATCATCATCATTTTTTTATGGACTTGACAATCATTCTCTTCTTCAAATTCAATCAAATTATTTTTTTTGACATGTAATATTAACATGTAAAATGCTCACCACCCCAAACTTGAGAACTTGCTTGTCCTCAAGCAACTACAATCATAATCAGCACCCCAAACTTAGTTTATTGCGTTTACTCTTTATGCAACTCAAAAGAAATACCTCTCTTAAGGTAAGGAAAATGTTGTTGCAGACTAAGTTTGGCAAAAGAAGGAATGTGGAACAAGGGAAATTAGATACAACGGTGTTGAAGGGTGGGTGGGTGTGTGCAAAGATGGCCTCAATCATCTAGATGAAAAATTGCACAATGCATATTCAATTAAGAAACAGGGCAAGTTCTAGAGGATTGAATGCAAATATACATGTTATAATGCACACAGAAAAGAATGTGGAGGCTGAATTCTCTACCATGGTAAAAGGCGATAATTACTTAACAACATGTGATCACAGTTCACCTTACAAGAAAATATGCGCAGCATGGTAGGAATGAAAATATTCAAAAACAGAGAATGATCATGAGTTGAATGGGAAGTGCAATCAGAATATAACTATGGAATTACAAAACTGGACTAAAGTAAAAGAGAGATGCGGACAATATTTTTGGATTTTCATTTAACACTGTGCAAGAAAATTAGATTAAGAATAATAGAAACAGAGGCAAAGAGATCACCCCCCTTTTCATAGAAAGTAGAATCACAACTCAGGGGTCAAATTCATGCTCCTCTTGATGGGACTGAGGGCATTTTTTGCACAAATATACACAGAATTCAGTATAAGGAGCAAATATGAAACCAGAAAATGGAATAGATATATATAAGTGAAAATGTCAGAAATGTTCAGATTAAGAGTGATAATACGAAAGTAAAGCAGTAAAGATGGAAACAATAACGTGCGATAATTACAAGGAAATGGGAGTTAACAATAAATACAGGGAAATAGAAGAAAGTAAGTGAAAAGTGAGTGCGGTGAAAAAGAAACTAAGGCTAGATAGCATCTTCATCAGAGCTGGAAAAGGTAGAGTCATCATCATCATCATCATCTGCCGTTGCTGCTGGGGGTCTTCATTTGAGGCATTGGAGTTGTTTTCATTGGCTTCAGCTCTGGCAGGGGCAGTAGGAGGAAAGGGTGGAAGGTCACTCTGGACTGCTGCTCATAGGTAAGGGTCACTGAAAGTAAGGGCATCATAAAGCTGCGTGGTAGTCATCCCTTGCTTCTCCCCTATGTTCAGCAGCATCATGTCCATAAGTGTCATAAGTAGCAAAAATTGGAGGAAAGAAGTTGATAATTGAAGAATAGCCTCTGAGTGATCACTTTCGCTGGTGAAAGTGATCACTCCATAACCATAAAATGAAGAAGAATTTCTGCGTAATCACTTTTGCTGGCAAAAGTGATCGTTCCAGAGAGGTTGCATTGAGAAGAGCTTTTGCGTAATCACTTTTTCTGGAAAAAGTGAGCGTTCCAAAGAGTCCTCCAAGAAGAGTTGCTGCATGTGTTCACTATTATCCACAAAAGTGAACACGCAAAAGAAGGTAGCCTCTGCGTGTTCATTATTTCTAGCAGAAGTGAACACGCACATGACATTAGTAAAGGAAGCTTCTGCGTGACTACTATTTTCAACAAAAGTGAACACTTTGAAGTGCACGTGGCTACTATCACCAGCAAAAGTGAACATGCGCAAGTGGAAATGAAGAATTAATTAGCCTCTGCGTGATTACTATTGCTGGCAAAAGTGATCACGCCAGTAGAGTAGAAATTCTATAAAAGACAGTTAGCTCAGGAATTTAAGAGAAGAATAATATTTTGGTTCATTTTTCATTTTCCATTTGTTTTTGTTGTTGAGAGAGTCAGAGAGGGAGATTGAGGATGAACACCAAGCTTCATTTCTTGAGGGATCAGATTGGAGATTGGTTTGAAGATGTTTCTTCTTTCTTCATTCTCTTCTTCTTTTCTCTTCTCTTCTCTTTTTGTAATGTTTGCTTAAACTCTTTGTGGTTAGGAACTGTGAATCTGAATAGAAATGTTGAATTAATTTTGGATCTAAACTTTGAGTTTTGGATTGGATTGAGTGATTGATTCTGCTGTTAAAGTAGTGATTGAATGGAAATTTGATCAACTAATCATAGAGGAACTCTTATCAATGGGAATTGAATTTGTTTCTCAGATCTGAATTCACAACAGTTTGTGCAAGAAGGTTCCCTGAGCCTTGAGATTGCATCTGGTTTAGAGAGGAGGCTAACTGTCCCATTTGATTCTCCAAAGTTTTAATACTAGCCTCAATTTTTTGCTGGAAAGTGATGTTGTTCATGGTCAATTGCTTCATGAGCTCCTCCAATGATGGTTCATTTTTCTGGGATGCACTTGGTTGTGAAGAAGATGGTTGGTGATGGTGCTGGGCTTGTTGTGGTTGATGTTGGGATTGATGGGATCTATTTGGTCCAATATGATGTGTTTGATATTGAGTGCCCTGCTGATGGTTGTGCTGTTGGGAATTGCTCCCCCATCTCAAATTCGGATAGTTCCTCCAGCCTAGGTTGTATCTATTGGAAGATAGATCCCAATTGGGCTGTTGCTGCGAATTTGGAAAAGGAAATTTATTAGTGAAAATGTTTGCGACATAAGCCTGTGGATTACCTTCTAGAGTGTCAGACTCTTGTAGTGTAGGGCAGCTATCAGTGTAATGGTCTGTAGCTGAGTAAATTCCACACAACATGGTTGGAACGGATGGTGAAGGAGGTGAAGATGCAGCAACACTCTT